CACCATCGCGATAGTGGTCTACAGTCTTATTGTCCATATATTCAAACTACTTCTAGTCATGTATCACCTCCACATCTGGCANAGGGTGAAGCAAGGCTCACGCCTAGTTTCAGTACCAAACATTGACCTCCGCCTTTTCTCGTGCTCTTTGGGCTGTTTCCCATTTTGCACGCTGAATCATACGTCAGATCACTGCTTTGCGGGAGCCTGATTGTTGCTTTTGCTGTTTGCTTATAAGCACTGCTGCCCGCACTCTTCTCTGCTTTTCCGCAGATTCAATCTTGGAAATTTTCGCCTCCAGACTGGGGTTCTTCATGACTCTTGAATTATGTATGCCTGGCTTGCGGGTCTTATATATATACTGTTCTGACTCTAGAGTTTCTTCTATTAAATTCTAGCAGGTTCTAGAAAGTTCCCGCATGCACTAGGAATTGCTGCGTAGAGTCCCTGACTTGCTCGACATGATTTTGCAGGTGTGTCGTCTCCCTTACGGGGCCGTTATAGATGCAAACAGACCAGATATTGCTTACGGACGCGTATTTAAGTCCTGAAAGGGATATATCGTGTGCCAACATGTGCTTATGTACGTTAAAATACCCCAGATTGCTTCTAATATAGTTGTGTACGGCTTCCAGAACACTTGCAGCCCTGTAAAATGCGTGATTGGGACACGTGCGCGGCTCGGAAAGGACCGGCCGTGCCGATCCCATCTTATCTGATAGTGATAAGATTGGGCGTCTATCTTGTCCCAAGGAGGTGCATCGCTCGTCCCTCCCTTCCTGTCCTCCTGCCTGTGTCCTGGAACTCTGGTCTGCTCTCTTGCTGCTGCTTAACTCAAAAAAAACTCTTGTCTTGATGCCTGGGGACCAAGACGACGCAGATCCGACGCCTTACGGCCTCCCAGCCGTGTTCGGGAACACCGTCGTCACGGTGCTGGTCCCTTATCGCGGACGCTAACCCCGCTCTTTTCCTCAGTCCCTCTTTCTCTCTCTCCGACCGCCACCGACGACAGTCTCACTCTTCGTGCGCTCGTGAGCAGCAAGGATGCCGGCGTCATCATTGGGAAGACTGGCGCAACCGTCGCAAAACTCCTGGAACAGACCGGTGTCCAGGCTGGCGCCAGCAAAGTCATCCCCGGCGTCCATGAGCAGGTTCTGTCCTCCCCTCTTCTCGTGGACTCATCCTTGGACGTGTCGCGACGGTCTCTCTGGGCTTGAAGAGCCCCCCTTTCGACGCTGAGGGTCATCTTCCGTCCCCTTCTTCGCATCCTGGACGCGTCGCCACCATCGCGACGGGCGTCGCGTCGTTCTCATGGTCGGCTCTCCCGCTCTCTTTCTCTCTCTCACCTCCTCTGCTACAGCCCTGCTCTCTGGTTTCCCTTCTCCTGTTGACGTTCCCCCTCTTTTTCTTACTGGCACGGCACGCAGAGGCCGATAGGCATGCCCGTATGTAATACGGGCAGCTACCGGTCTCTGTCGTCGTCGTGCTCCTGACCTTCCTCCAGCCTTCTCCCTACAGTCCTCCCTCCTGCCTATCGGTGCCTTACTTCGCAGGAGGTGCCCCTATACTACTTGTATACAAATTCACAGCCCGGCCGGCCGCCTTATTCGACGTCGGCGGCCCTCACAATCTCACGTCGCGCCCCCAGGCCCCTCAAAAGTTTAGTTATCTTACTTGTTTGCGGTCGGATGGGACGGATCTTGGTTGCTGTGGGTTGCTGGGGACTGGGAGGAGCTAGGAGGGTGCTTAGGATGGGTGACATGGGGTCCGTTCAGGTACGTCGCCCACCGTCGTCCCCATTCTCGCAGTTCCTCGCGCACCCCGGCTTCCTTCCTCAAGACTCGTCTCCTCCGGGCACTACTCACATCTTTATGGCTCACACAGGTACTATATTCCTTTCTACATACATATGGGGGGTGCGCGCACATGCAGCGCTGCTGCAAACGAACCAGGGCGGTTGCGGACATCAGTCCCGCCGCCTTGGTCGTTTTTACTCAATTTTTGGGACCCCCCATAGCATTGAGCTTCGTGCTCGATGCTGCAGCAGCTTTGCATGCCGTGAGGTGAGTCGGGAGGTGCTCGCGCTAGCTGGGGTTCAGCCAGTTGGCCTTTACCTCCTTCCGCGTGCTCCGGCCGACTCAACACCCTTCGACCGCTCAACCATCGGCATTTGACCGCCTTCGACTCGCAACGCCTACGCCTGCGGCCACAAACACTTACACGTCTTCGGACGCCCCGTCGGTACCACGTCGATTCATCGTCTCTTGGACACTCGGCCGACCTCCGGCTACTCAGCGTCGTCCATCGACGTCGCTCTCATCCGTCGGCCTCCATCGCGTCATCATCCCATGGCCCCGTTTGCGGCAGTATTTCCTCACTGTCCGCTCGCACCGCGCAGGTGCTCGCATTGTCGAGCGCACTGGCGCCGTCGTCCGTCATCTCCTCTGGGGCGCCTCTCGCCTCGTCACGGTCCTCGTTCCCCTCAATCTCCCCGCGCACTCCTCTCGTCCCCTCAAGATCGGTTGTGGGCACACACGCAGCCGTGTCGTAGGTGCTCGGAGCTCCGTAGGCGTGGTGGGACGAGTACGCGGATCCCGAGGGGACCGTACTTGTCCCTTCTTGGTAAGTTTCTCTTCGATCCATACCACTGTTAGTTCCTGTCAGAGGAGTTAGGCGAGTCGTGAGCGGCCGTACTGGGTTTCCTTTCCCCAGTATGGACCGTTGCGCGTGCCTTGTCTCCAGTGGCTGCGGCGGTCGCGTCGATCACGACGTCGTCCACGTCGATACCCTCCTTGCGGGGTGGGGAACCTTCCGTGTTCCCCATCTGTTTCTCCTCTTTCCTTCATCACGAGCTCACCCCGCCCCGATTGTGGCCTCATTGATCGGGGTTCACTTCGGGGATCTGTGCAGTAACCTCTCGCGAACGAGCTTATCGCTCGCGAGACCCTGCTGGGCAACAGTCCTCCCATTGTGTGCTGTTCGTTACTGACTCTTTTTTTTTTTCCTTTCTCCGCAGGTGTACACCCCTCTTCTTATATACTGAACTGTACATATTATTCTAGATCCTTCTTTCATGGTGCTTGTTATTTTGCCAACTCCGGCTAGAATGTTCTAGCAGATTCCCGGCTGTACTAGTACCAATTCTGGGATGTTCTGAGTACATTCTAGACCATTCTGGGATGTTCTATAACCATTGACTGAGAGTGACTCATCCTGACTCATTCCTAGTCATTACCGGTAACTTTTAGTGCTTGCCATTTAGGGTAGGTTTTCCGGTAGCTTCCAGTCCTTTCCGGTAACTCTTGCCAAGTATATATATGGATATCTCTAGGGTCTAAGCCTTCCATACTTATATAGCCTAATAAGGCTAGTCACTAGCAATTGTATTCAGCAAACTTCCATCTCTGAAGTCTTCCATTTGTGTGCCTTAACTTCGGTCGAATGCATTGCTGCGGTGTATGTCTCTAGCAATCTGACCACAATATCAACACTATCTTGGTCCTATCACCACCGTATATCAAGGTTTCATCATTGTTTGTGTGACAAAGCTCACTCCCAGGCCCACTGAGTGCCACAATGTGCGAATCCTTTCAGTGCTCGCCCCACAGTTGAAATAGGCGCCCACTGCAATGCTTGAAGGCTCGCGACTTCGGGGAGCTGTTTTTGAACCGGCAATTGCCGCTGAGCGTCTATTCACACCTTTTAGGCTTTTAAGCTTTAGGCATCAAGCATTTAGACTATTAAGCCTTTTAAGCATTTACACTTCTATGCAAGGTTCCGTTTCTTTGGGTCCTTCTTATCAGCTGATCAGCATCTAGATAAGAGCAGGCGCATATTATCTTTCCAGCGCTTATACATTTCCTTTTCTAGTTCATCTTGTGACTCCTTGGTACGTCACCACTCTGCGGTGGCCCAACGGCAGTCTAGTCCTTATTCTCTATCTCCTCAGTATGTCACCGGCTTGTCAGCGGTCTGACGGCAGATCTTGTTTCTTTCACATTTCCTGATTAGTGCTGGCTGTGCTATCCTGCTTTCCTATCACTGATTAATCTAGAACCCTTAGCTTCTAGTGCCCTTAATGTGCCTGACGCTCAATCACAATGAGCTCGCTATTGTCTCCCGTGTGATCCGCCATGTACTATTGTCAAGCGGTGGCCTTCCATTCCTCGGCAACTGTCTTCCATTCTTTGATGCAAGGCGACCAGTCCTGCTGCGGCTTCTTGATTTCTATGCCAATGGAAGCTATTGCTGCGGCAATCCCTGATTTCTATTGTCTTACTGCTGTGATTTCCTTTCTTGTTCTTTGGCGGTGATATTCAGAATTTCAATGCTTCCTGTA